CTCATAAAGGAGCCCCAGCCGCCCGGACACCTGGGGCCAGGCTCCACGGTGGAGCTGGGAGGCGGAGGGGCGGCCAGCACTTTGTCCACCAGGAGTAGCAGCTCATCTCACTAAACGGGCTCGTCCCCCACCAGGCGCCGCGACGACACGTTGGAGATGGGCCCAGGTGCAAAGAAATTACAAAGAGCCATTGGCAGAGCCCCACGGAGGCCTCGCCGCTGGGCTGGCTCCTGCCTCGGAATAGAACAGAGCGCTCTGTTGGCTCCTCACCCTCCATTCGAGCGGGGAGGAGAGGACGGAAGAGGGGAGGGACTAGATCAGAACAATGAGACGAAGCACCAACAGTGCGGGTGGCCCTTGGAAGTTCTGCCAGCGCAGGACAGGCCGCGCAGGGTCGCACCAGGACGCCCAAGCACTGAGCTCACGCATGCAGGACGCCGAGCCCAGGAGCGAGGGAGGGGCCCCGGCTTGGCGTTTCCCTTTGGGAGGCGCGGAGCGCGGGGACCACGTGCTGCGGGCTGCTCATGGGATGTGCTTCATGACATTGAACTGTACCTACAAGCGGCTGGGATGATAACTTCTGTGTTATGTATATTGTCACTATTTAAATTCTTTAGAGAGCAAACAATAAATAAAATAAAGAGCAGCTAGATGTTGAGTCAGGACCTGAGAATGATGGGGGAATATGCAACACTAGGTCACCTTGGAATATAAACCCTAAAAGTCCAGAATGTGTTCTTATCCCTTAAGATCCCCCCGGACACTCCACACCACCCACCCCTGGGAAGCAAGGCGCAGACCTGCCTGACCTGCTCCCCCTAATACGTCCTGCTCTGCCTCCCTCCAGGGCCACTGCTCTCCCAACTCACCCTCCTGCCCGCCCTGCGGATGCGCTTCCAGCCCCCGTGACTGTTAGGGCAAAACACCACCAACTGGGCCCTGGCCCACACCTGACAGTCCTTCCTCACAGTTCTGGGCGGTGGGATCAGGGTGCCAGCACAGTGGCGGGGGGGGGGGGGGGCCTTCCTGGTGCCAATTTCTCATGGTGCCCTCACGTGCAGAACCCACAAGAAAGTTCCCTTGGGCCCCTTTTGTCAGAGCACTAACAGGGTTCCTCCTTCATGAGCTGATCGCCTGCCAAAGGCCCCACCGACTAATACCAGGAGATTGGGTGCTTGGATTCCAACAGGAGAATTTGCTGGGACCCACATAATCTGGCCAGAGCAGCCAGTTTCTGTTCTTTTACTTAATCCCTCCCTATTTCACCCAGCCCTACACAGCTGTCAGTCTGTTCTCTGCATCTGTAGTTGGTTCCTATTTTGTTAGTTTATGTTGTTCATTAGATTCCACATATAAGTGAGATCATGTGACACTTATCTTTCTCTGACTGGCTTATTTCACTCAGCGTGATACCCTCCAGGTCTCTCCATGCTGTCACAAATGGCAAGATTTCCTTCTTTTTTACAGCCATGTGATTCCATGGTGTAGATGTACCACAGCTATTTTATCCCTTCATCTCCTGATGGGCACTTGGGCTGTTTCCATATCTTGGCTATTCTATATAATAAAGAGGTAATATGCAAATTGACCATCATACCCTCACACAAAGATGGCCGCTCCCATGTGGGCACAAGATGGCTGGCATGGGAGGGCAGTTGGGGGTGATCAGGCCTGCAGGGGAGGGCAGTTGGGAGCAACCGGGCCAGCAGGGGAGGGCAATTGAGGGAGACCAGGCCAGCAGGGGAGGGCAGTTGGGGGCAATCGGGCCAGCAGGGGAGCCATTAGGCGTCAATCAGGCTGGCAGCAGAGTGGTTAGGGGGTGATCAGGCTGGCAGGCAGAAGCGGTTAGGGGCAATCAGGCATCCAGGCAGGCAAGCGGTTGAGAACCAGCAGTCCTGGATTGTGAGAGGGATGTCCCAGATTGGAAAGGGTGCAGACTGGGCTGAGGGACAGCTCCCCCCGCCCCAGTGCACAAATTTCATGCACCAAGCCCCTAGTTATAAATAATGCACATAGGGTTTCATATATTTGAAATCAGTGTTTTGGGGTTTCTTTGGAGATATTCTCAGAAGTGGGATGGATGGTCATAAAGTAGTTCCATTTTAATTTCTTGAGGAAACTCTATACTGTTTTCCACAGTGGCTGCACCAGTCTGCATTCCCACCAGGGTTCCATTTTCTCTGCATCCCCACCAGCATTTGGTGTTTGTTGATTTATTGATGATAGCCATTCTGACAGGCGTGAGGTGATATCACATTTTGCTTTCATTTGCATTGTTCTGATCATTAGTAACATTGAGCATCTTTCCATGTCCTCTTTGGTGAAGTATTTATTCAGGTTCTTTGCCAATTTTTTAATTGAATTGTTTGTTTTTTGGGTGTTGCGTTGTATGAGCACTTTATAAATTTTGGATATTAACCCCTAGAGTGCCGGGGAACGCGATCGTGCTCCTCCTGTCTTTTGCCTAAAGTGCCGGGAGCGCTATCAAAGCTTCGAAATGGCGTCCAGTTCTAAGTCTGCTTTTTCTTTCTTTTTTTTAAAATATATTTTATTGATTTTTTACAGATAGGAAGGGAGAGAGATAGAGAGTTAGAAACATCGATGAGAGAGAAACATGGATCAGCTGCCTCCTGCACATCTCCTACTGGGGATATGCCCGAAACCCAGGTACATGCCCTTGACCGGAATCGAACCTGGGACTTTTCAGTCCGCAGGCCGACACTCTATCCACTGAGCCAAACCGGTTTTGGCCTAAGTCTGCTTTTATTAGTGATGATGATATTGCTAAATATGTCAATGTAATAAAGGTTTCCTTAAGTTTATGAATATGTAACTTCATTTACTTGTGATTCATAATTTTTTTTTCCTAAACTGCTGTAAAATCAGCAAAAATGCCTTGGCAATTTCAGCATAGTTCTTAGGTATTGGTTGGCACTCAAAGGGTTAACCCCATATCAGATGCATTATTGGTGAATATGCTTTCCCATTCAGTGGGTTGTCTTTCCATTTTGTTGACAGTTTCCTTTGCTTTGCAAAACCTTTTAGTTTGATGTAGTCCCAGTTGTTTATGTTTGTTTTGTTTCCCTTGCCCGAGGAGTTATATCAGAAAAAAAATATTGCTACGAGAAATAGCCAAGATTTTACTGCCTGTAAAATCTGGGTTTTTTATGGTTTTGAGTCTAACATTTTCTTCTGGTTTTTTTATGGTTTTGAGTCTAACATTTAAGTCTTTAATCCATTTTGAATTTATTCTTGTGTGTGGTGTAAGGAGGTGGTCTGGTTTTATTTTATTTTATTTGCATGTACCTATCCAATTTTCCCAATACCACTTCTTGAAGAGATTGTCTTTATCCCATTGTATGTTTTCACCTCCTTTGTTAGATATTAATTGGCAATAAGCCATGGTTGATCTCTGGGCTCTCTGTTCTGTTTCATTAGTCTGTGTGTCTGGTTTTATGCCAATACCATGCTGTTTTGATTTCTACAGCCTTGCAGTATAATTTGATATGAGGTATCTTCAACTTTGTTCTTCTTTCGCAAGATTACTTTGGCTATTCAGGGTCTTTTGTTGTTTCACATCAATTTTTGGAATATTTGTTCCAGTTCTGTGAAATACACCAGTGGTATTTTGATAGGAATTGCATTGAATCTGTAGATTGCTTTGTGTAGTATGGACATTTTGATGATGTTAATTCTTCCTATCTATGAACAGTATATGCTTCCACTTATGTGTATCTTCATCAATTTCTTTCTTCAGTGTCTTATAATTTTCTGAGTACAAGTGTTTTATCTCCTTGGTTAAATTTATTCCTAGTTATCCTATTTTTCTTGTTACAATTGTAAAATGAGAGTGTTCTCTTAGTTTCTCTTTCTCATAGTTCGTTATTGGTGTGTAAAATGCCACCAGCTTCTGAATATTAATTGTGCATCCTAGCAGGCCACTTTTTAAGTAAGGCTCAGTGTCATTTACCACAGAATGGGCTCCTCAAGTTAGGGCCCTTAAAAGTTGTGATGAGAGTGACAGCTAATTTTTAGTATCAAGACTCTTTGTGACTTGTTTCATCATGAACTGACCTGCGATGAGGGGCTAACTGAAAAATTACTTTGTTTTAATTGGACCATAATGACATCATCTCGGGGTGATAACCATGCCTCTCACATGTTGCTCAGCATTCTGGCTGACACGAGCCAGCTGGAAAAACAAGGGAGGTCTGACTTATTTTGGCTTGACAGTTCAAGTCTTTCAAAGCATGGAGCTCACCAGAGGGTGATTAATGGGCAATTACAGTGTTGCCACTGTTAACCCCACTGATCTGGTGACCACTAAGTCACTTCCAATATCACCTGCTAAGACTGATCATGGCTATATATTTGCACAGACAGCAGATATCCCTAAGCACAGGGCCCTGTGGACACAACATAACAACTGCCATTATCCTTGCCAGCCCTCTCCAAGCCCACATCCCACCTTCCTGCCCTCCCCTGACTACCAGCTCCCAGCTCTGGTCTCTCAGGTGCCACACCATGTGCCAACTTCCTGACATCTGAATTACAATCCCAGAGCGCCCTGTGCCCCATTTCTCAGGGGCTCAAATCCACTCCATGTTCAGCAAATGTTCACAGGGGTTCAGAGCCAATAAGTTAATGAGGGCCTTCTAGAGAGGTGATTCCTTAAAGAAGCATCTCTGACCAAAATAAGCAAACAAACACAGTCCCTCTCGCCCCACTGGTGTGCCTCAGTTGTTGAGCATCAACCTATGAACCAGGAAATGACAGATCGATTCCTCGTCAGAACATGTGCCCAGGTTGCAGGCTAGATCCCCAGTGTGGACATGCAGGGGGCAGTCGATCAGTGATTCTCTCTCACCATTGAGAGAGAATCAGTGATTCTCTCTCTCTCTTCCTCCCTTCCTCTCTGAAGTCAATAAAAACAGATTCTTAAAACAAAAACAAAACACAAAAATAAACGCAGCCTCTCTCTCACAAGTACCAATGACAGACTCCAAGCAGGCGGCCTGAATGCAGTGCACCTTGTCCAACTGGGAGCCACTTCCGAGGGCAAACTCTCCATCATGGGGTAGAGGCCTCCCAGGTGGCCTCCCGCTTGCCAGCTGTTGCCAGCTGTGAGGTCACAGGGCATGAGCTTCAGCAGCTGGCCGGAGAAGGTGGCGGAAACCTTTTGGGTGGCATGAGGTATCTCACTTTTTTCCAGAACCTGGCCTTTGCACAAGGTGACTGCGCTGTGAAGTCCCTGCTCCACTGGACGGACCCGTGCTTCTGTCTGAGATATTGGATCGACTCTGGCATGGATGCATAGCTCTCGACTTTCTCCACCTCAATCAGAATGGCCTTCATCCCATCCTGGATGAGAGTGTTGTAGATTGCAATCTGTTCTTCTGACATGTTCTTTAAGAGGTCAAAGCCCAGCGGTTCAGGAACTAAGATGATGATCAGTCGCCTGCACAGCTTAATGTTCTCATCGATGACAGTGGCCACAGCTGCACAGAGAGAGAGAGAAGCAGATCTCATGAGTAAAGCAGCCTGGATCTTAATGCTCTTGAGGACAGTAGAAATGGACCCTAAGAATGAACATTAAAATAGACATGACTTAGCAATGGACTAACAAGTTGTTTTTTGACATCGTCACCCTCTCTGTGAAAACGTCCTACTGTCCCTGAAGCATTGGTCCTTTATATTCATGAATCACATGTTTTGATAGTTAGTTGTTGGTATGTCACTTTCCTCAGCTCACACAGGCGTGAACTGCTCAGAACAGGGTCTGATCAGGCCTAGTTTTGCCATACTTAGCTGGAGGTCTGGTATAAGATGATGAACATATTTTTTTAAAATAAATGCATTTTAAAAGAATAAGAAGTTAGCTCAAATGTCATTTTAATCTTTATTCGTGTTTTCCTCTTATGCTTTATAGCTATTTAAATGACCAGGATTTATATACCCTGATGGTTTCTGGTGGCTGAAATAAGTTGGTCTTTTTCAGAATAAAGACCAAGTTTTATATCCTCCTTAGTCTTAGAATATATGAATAGATAACAGCCTCCCCAAAAGCAGACTTTTTATGTTCGGTTACTTTTTTTTTTTAAATATATTTTATTGATTTTTTACAGAGAGGAAGGGAGAGAGGTAGAGAGTCAGAAACATCGATGAGAGAGAAACATCGATTGGCCGCCTCCTGCACACCCCCCACTGGGGATGTGCCCGCAACCCAGGTACATGCCCTTGACCGGAATCGAACCTGGGACCTTTCAGTCTGCAGGCTGACGCTCTATCCACTGAGCCAAACCGGTTTTGGCTGTTTGGTTACTTTTAACATTTCTAGAGCCTAGGACACTACCTGGCACATAGCAGTTGCTCAATAAATATTTGTTGGATAAGTGAGTGAATGAAGATGGACCCACTTATGAAAGGAGAGCTCTTCCACATGTTTATCATAAGCACTGGACTGAAGTTTCGTTTCCTCATAGAGGGTGATCTCAGAACATGGGAGGGTCTGGGCGGAGATATAGCTGTGGTCTCTGTGGGTGTAAGTAGCCTGTAAATCCAAAGTAGTTAGAAAGCTTTAAAAGCGGCCCAGAATAAGCCACTTCCAACTGCAATAAAGTAGTAATCTTGGTTCCTGGTGACGAGAAAATGAGACTTATTTCAAATTTCAGCCATTGACTGTATAGCCATCAAAGGGGAAATCTTTGTCCTCTGAGTGTCTAATCCAGTGGTTCTCAACCTTCCTAATGCCGCAACCCTTTAATACAGTTCCTCATGTTGTGGTGACCCCCAATTTCATTGTTACAAATTGAACATAATTAAAGCATAGCAATTAATCACAAAAACAATATGTAATTATATATGTGTTTTCCGATGGTCTTAGGCGACCCCTGTGAAAGGGTCGTTCGACCCCCAAAGGGGTCGCGACCCAAATGTTGAGAACCGCTGGTCTAATCAGTACTGCTTAAGGTTATACTCGTTTAATTCTCTCAACCAAGTCAGGGAAGCATTCTTATCCCCATATGACAGATGAGCCACCTGAGGTTCAGAGATGTCAGCTACACAGCCCAAAGCTATACTGCTATTAAATGAGAGAAGTAAATACCTCTTCTATTTAGTAGGGGAGGGGTAGGGGTTGAGGGTTGGAAAATCCACTTTAAACATGAGCTTATTTACATGCTCCAACTGAAAAAATACTCAGCAGTTAGTCTCAAGGACATCAGGGCAAGCGACCACTTTCAGTCTCTGTGCCACCTGTGCACGTGGAAGGGTTTAAGAGGCCTATGCCACCCACCACCTGTGCACATGGAAGGGTCCAAGCCTATGCCACTCACCACCTGTGCACGTGGAAGGGTCCAAGCCTATGCCACTCACCACCTGTGCACATGGAAGGGTCTAAGCCTATGCCACCCACCACCTGTGCACATGGAAGGGTCTAAGTGCCTATGCCACCCACTACCTGTGCACATGGGTGGTTTAGTCATATCCTTGCTCAGAGAGTCACGGTGTTTCAGTCAGGGTCTCTGTTATCCTGTTGTAGGAATGAGCTGAATGGGAGAGGGGAGTGGGATCTAAGCTCCCAGCTCAGGTGGAGAGCTGGGCGGTGGAAGACTTCCTATGGTTCAGTGGGGAAGGCAAGCAGAGTCCCTACCATTTGTAAAGTGAAGGAAGGGAAGTTTCCGTTAATTTTTTTATTCATTTTTGTTTTTCTACCTCAGTCAACACATACCTTGTCCAGGAAACTCATCCCTGCCCAATATAAATAGCTTATATCCACACTGCCTCTCCAGCACCTCGGGCAGAGCCCTCAGAACCAGCGTGTCCACATCAGAGCTCCGGCAGTCGCGGGGAGGCTTGGGGTACAAGACGTACGCATCATACAGCTTCCCGTCTGAAAGAGAAACGTGGCGAGCTCATGGAACGAATCCTACCAAGTCCTTCCTACATGAACAAGGTGGAAATTGGAGTTGCTACCAAGCTGTCCTCTTCGCTCAGGTCTGATGGCTTCAGAGTGCTCAGCTGGCTGACTCGGTGCCAAGCATTGCTGCTCTCAGCATCACATTCCTTTAACACTTAAATAATTCACTCCACTGGCTTCTTGCTTGCATGGTGTCTGAGAAGTTGAGCATAATTTCTATCTTTGCTTCTCTATGGTTAAGGTGACTTTTTGCCTCTGGCTTCTTTGGGGATATTTTTTCTTATCTTTGATTGTCTGTAGTTTGAAAATAATGTGCCTAGGTGTATGTGAGTTTTTTTGTGGGTTTTTAAAAATATTTACCACACTTGGTGTTCTCTGAGCTTCCTGGATTTGTGGTTTAGTGTCTAACATTAATTGGGGAAAATTCTCAGTCATTACTGTTTCAAACATATCTCTTCCTTTCTCTCTTTCTCCTCCTTCTGGGACTCTCTTTAGACTTTACCCCTTCTGTGGTTGTGCCACAGTCATTTTATGTTTAGTTTAGTTTTGTTTTGTTTTACAGTCTTTGTTCTCTTCACTTTTCAGTTTGGGGGGTTTCTACTTAGTTATCCTCAAGCTCAGAGACACTTTGCTGGGCCATGGCCTATCTAACAAGCCCATCAGGCAGCCTTCACTTTTGTTATACTACCCCCTGTGGTGCAGCTGAAAAGAATTGGAAGCAAGAGTCTCCATCAATGTCACTGTCGATGGATCCTGTGCAACAGAGTGCTGTTCTAACGGCACCAGGTGAAGTGGGCCAAATTCTCACAATGTAGCCCCACCGGTGAATCCCATCATTGAAACTGCACACTACTCTACAAGGAAACCAAGCAGCAGACTCTAGGAATTGGCTGTGTCATGCTAAGAACTCAAGCACCATAGCACATCATCATGTCAGAGTGAGCCAGTGTATACTGACCAGCCACAGGCCACAGCCACTGTGCTCACAGTGTACAGATGAACAAGACCCAGATATACAATCAGAAGGCCACTCATGAATGTAGAAATAGCATGCAGCACTGTAAGTTAGCAAATGGCTGAGTGAACAGAAGAGACCCAGCAGTTCTCTTAAAGGGCCAGGTACACAAAGTTACACAGTTCCTCTTCTCCTGAGCACCAGCTCTGGGTAGCAGCTTTGGGGGATCCAGGGACATATGGGTAGCAACTGGATTAACTGGCATCAGGGCAGGAACTCAGGGGTGGCTTTCTCGCAGACAGGGGTGCTCATAGGTGCCATTGTCCCCCATCCCAGAGCTGACTGGCAGCCATATCTGAGTTTCCATCAGCATGGCCCACACTTTTTGCCCCACCCTGGTGTTTCCCTGAGACCCTGTCCCATCCAAATTGCAGCCCCACTCAAGCTGTTTGCAGAGGCTTTTCCATATGAATGGCCTGTCCTGGCTCAGGCTTCAGACTTTGCTAAAATTTCTCAAACAAGCAGAAGGCCTAAGACCTGGCACTAGCACCAGCCTGCCCTGCTTCACAGCTTGGCCTCACCTGGGCACTTCCAAGCCCAACACAAGTAGCAGTCATTGCAGATCTCTCTGTAGCTCTTGAGGGATGGCCCAAGCAGTGGCTGAATTTGTACTTCCCAGGAGGCCCTAGAGCCAATGCACCCAGTGGGCAGCTTCAGACCACACCAGATTACAACTGTACACATCCACAAGCAACACACTCAAGGAGAAGACTCAGTGAGCACCAAACCCACTGAAGCACGTCCTACTTCATAAGGGTATCTCCTGCACAGCAGCTTTTCCACTATAGTGACAGCTGTTCCTCACAGCCAATTGGCCTAGAAGTCAACTCCTCCCAGTGACGCCAACAGCAATCAAGGCTCAACTACAAGACTGTGCTCACAGCCCACACAGGGGTGCACCTAGAGTGCCCAACTCAGGTGACTGGGGAGGCTGAGTCACTGGGCCCTACAGGACACCTACTACACAAGGCCACTCTACCAATTCCAGGAGACATAGCAGTTCTACCTAATACATAGAAACAAATACAGGGAAGCAGCCAAAATGTGGAGACAAAGGAACATATCACTAATGAAAGAACAGAAGAAATCTCCAGAAAAAGAAGTAAATGAAGTAAAAGCAAGCAAATTACTAGATAAAGAGATCAAAAACATGGTTATAAGGTTACTCAAGGACATTCATGAAAGCTTCAAGGGACTTAGTGAGACTTTAAAGAATCTTAGTGAGAATTTCAGACATGAAAAAGAACCAGTCAGAAATTAATCATACACTAACTAAAATAAAGAATAATTTACAGGGAGTCAACAGTAGAGTACAGGATTATGAGAATCAAATCAGTGATTTGGAATATGAGGAAGAAGAAAACAAAACACACCCAAACAGAACAGCAAAAAGAAAAAAGAATCCAAAAATATGAAGAGAGTGTAAAGAGCTTCTGGGACAACTTAAAGCTTACTAACATTTGATTATGGGAGTGCCAGAAGGAGAAGAGAGAGAGCAAGATATTGAAAACCTATTTGAAGTAATAATGGTGGAAAACTCCCTCTACTGGTGAAAGAAATAGACTTACAAGTCCAGGAAGCACAGAGTCCCAAATAAGAGGAACCCAAAAAGGACCACATTAATTAGGACACATCATAATTAAAATGCTAAGGGCTAAAGACAAAGAGAGAATCTTAAAAGCAGCAAGAGAAAAGCAGTTAGTTACCTACAAGGGAGTGCCCATATGACTATCAACTGATTTCTCAACAGAAACTGCAGGCCAGAAGGGAGTGGCAAGAAATATTCAAAGTGATGAATAGCAAGGACCTACAATCAAGATTACTCTATCCAGAAAAACTATCATTTAGAATTGAAGGTCAGATAAAGACCCTCACAGACAAAAAAAGCTAAAGGAGTTCACCACCACCAAACCAGTATTACATGAAATATTGAGGGGTAATACACACACACACACACACACACATACACACACACACACACATACACACACACACACACACACACACACACACACACACACTAGAGGCCCAGTGCATGAATTCATGCACAGGTGGGGTCCAGCTGGCCCAGCCACAACTGGGGCGGATCGGGGCTGGGCCTGTCAGGAGGAGGAGAAGGTGGGAGGTTGGCTGGCTGGCCTGCCCTGATCAGGGCCAGGCCGGCTGGTAGGATGGGCTGTGGGTGATTGGTTGGCGGGTCCTGCCTCCAATTGGGGTGGAGGGGCTGATTGGGGTAGGGCCACTGTGGTGAGTGGTTGTGGGCAGTGGGATGGCCAAATCCACCCTCAAATGGGGTGGGGGGCCGATCAGGGGTCAGCAGCTGTGGGATGGGCCAGGGGAGGTTCGCCAGCCAGCTCCACCCCCGACTGGTGTGGTGGGGGGTTGGTCAGGGGCGGAGCTGACTGGGGAAGGGGCTGCAGGCTGATCAGGGTGGTGGGGTCTGATCGGGGATGGGGCTGGCCGTGGGAGGGGCTGTGGGTGGTTGGCTGGCCAGCCCTTCCCGTGATCAGAGTGGGGGGACCAATCAGGGGTGGAGGGGCAGCAGGCCAATCAGGGTGGTTGGGGTCCATCGTGGCTGGTGCCAGCCAGAGGGAGGGTCAGCAGGCAGTTGGCCAGCTGGCCCTGCCCCTGATTGGGATGGAGAGGCCAATCTGGGGTGGTGCTGGGTCGGGGGAGCGACTGCTGGCGATTGGGGTGGTGGGGGCCAACATTCTTGCAGTCCCTCCCCCCAACTGGCCCCACCCCCTATTGAGGTAGTGGGGGTGATCAGGGGTGGGGCTGGGCAGGGGGAGGGGCTGCAGGCCGATTGGGGTGGTGGGGGCCAACATTCTTGCAGCCCCTCCCCCAAACTGACCCCACCCCCTATTGGGTGGGGGGATCAGGGGTGGGCCGGCCATGGGGAGGGGCTGCAGGCCAATCAGCGTGGTGGGGGCCCATTGGGGGCAGGACCAGCCATGGGGAGGGGCTGGTTCCACCCCCTATTAGGGTGGGGGTGATCAGGGGCGAGGCTGGCCTTGGGGAGGGGTTGTGGGGTGGTTGGCCCACTGCGTTCTAGTCACTGGATTTTTATATATAGAGATTTGTTTATTGATTTCAGAGAGGAAGGAAGAGGGAGAGAGAGGTAGAAACATCAATGATGAGAGAGAATCACTGATCAGCTGCCTCCTGCAAACCCCCTACTGGGGGTCAAGCCTGTAATCCAGTCATGTGCCCTTGACTGGAATCGAACCTAGGACCTTTCAGTTCGCGGGCTTATGCTCTATCCACTGAGCCAAACCAGGTAGGGCTGAGGGGAGAAGAAGAGGAGGAGGAGGAGGAGGAGGGAGTGGAAGAAGAAGAAGAAGAAGAAGAAGAAGAAGAAGAAGAAGAAGAAGAAGAAGAAGAAGAAGAAGAAGAAGAAGAAGAAGAAGAAGAAGAAGAAGAAGAAGAAATTATTAACAATAAAATGGCATAAATACATATCTATCAATAATTAAATCTAAAAAATAGAACCAACATCATGGAAACATGGAACAGACTGACGAATCTTAGAGGGAAGAGGGGAGGGGTGGTGGGAAGAGATTAGCCAAAGATCTTATATGCATCTTTGCATTACCTATGGACACTGACAATAGGATGGTGAGGCCTGGGATGGGGCAGGAACCAGGTGGAGGGGGGAGAGGGGTGGGAGAGGGACGTCTGTAATACTCTCAACAATAAAGATTTAAAATAAAGTAAAAAGAAAACAGGAAAAAAAAATATGACTCTTGCAAAATTGTCCCCAAAAAGGCCATGTGCTCTCAGGAGCGACTGAAAGGTTCCCATGAATAGCACACGAGGAAGGACAGAATCGCGTTTCCTTCTAACACAGCTCACTTTAAAACCTGCCCAAGATTTGTCATAACTGTCCCCTGGCTTGATTTTGCCATTTTTCCTTTGTTTCCATGTGTTCACTGTACCTACTTGGGTTTTGGTTGGACTTGTTCTGTTTATGGGAACTTTCTCACAAATACACAGCCCTTAAGGTGTGTACGTCGGTCTGCGTGCTTTGTACACATGCACCCCTGGCAGGAGGGTTTGTAAAGCGCCTCCTATGACTGAATGGAGAATAGACAGGACCCGTGGACTTTAGCCAGGCCTACGATGGGAACCCACTTATAAACTGACTTCTACACAAGTAACGATTAGTCACGCAGAAAGCCTGACTAATCCCTGGGATAAATGCTCCGTCACAGAAGGGCAGCTTCTCCCTCCTCATTGTGTTTGCCATCCATTGCTTCACAGGCGCCCAGACAACCAGGCTGTCCTCCTGGAAGGAGGCTGCAGGCAGCAGGGACTCCGCGCCCAGCACCGGCTGGCTGTCCAGGCCAGCACTGCCCGGGGGCTTTCCCGATAGCACGCAGAGCTGAGCTGTGGAGAACTTAATCACAAAGTGCCATAGACTTTTATGGATTAAAAAAAACCAAAAGAGGAAGAGGATCACTGGCTGACTGTGGGTTCCCATCTCCCAATCCTCAGCCCCAGGGCGGGGCTCTGAGCCTCTCCTCCCTCAGGTCAGGGGGGCAGGGCGAGTCAGCCTCCCCCCTTCTCCTGCTGAGCTGGCCTCACTAACCGGGACTCACCACCCTCCTTCCTCAGCTCCTGGAGCCACGGAGTCAGGGGGTGACAGTTCGGGGAACTGGGCTGAGCTGCCCGTCCAGGACGACAGCAGTGAGCCGTGCACAGCTGGCGCTCCCCTGCCAGCCTGGAGCCACAGCCAGGATTCTGCAGTGTCATTTGTCATCATAAAAACAGCGGGGTCTTTTTGGTTGCTCAGGGGCTGCCACGTTTGAATTCTAAAATTTCACGCAGAATAAAGTCCAGGTTAGGACACGTTCGTTTTATCAAACACGTGGGCAGCTCTGTCCAGTTATTCTCCATGCAAAGCAGACACTTGGAGTAAACAATGCCGCCTCTGAACAGGGACTGGGAAGACTAAGACTCGCTCCAGCCCGCTCTCCCCGCCCCTGCGTTCCTGCGCCCCTGCTCTTGTGAGCACCGCGAGGTGTGGACCGGAAGACTTACTCCCCTGTCTCTTCATGCCCGTGAGCCGCACATGGCCTTGTGCCTTCTAGTCATCTTTCCACCCAGTCAGGGGACCTGCCGCAGTTTATTACTTTACTCAAGGCCGGAATAGGTCACGTCCATTCTGAGCCGAGTATGCAGGGTGAGGCAAAGTGGGTTTACAGTTATTTGTAAGGAAAATAATACAATAATTAATAAATATTAATACAAGAATACGCTGTGTTTTGTGTACTCACAGCTGTAAGCCTCCTTTGCCGCCCCCAGTATATCGCAGTTAAAACCACACGGGGTGGGGTGGGGGTGGGGTGGGGGTTGGGGGGAACGCTGGCTCCTTCGTGTTAGGGTCTCACCCAGGGCTTCCGAGCTGAAAGCAGAGGCAGGGCCCAGACCCAGCACCCACTGCAACCTCCAGGCAGACCGGCCGGCAGCTAGCCTTGACCTCAGGCACGGGGAGCCCAGCTGTGCCCAAGTCCTGCCCAGGGCCTCTCTGGACTTCCATTCAGCTGCTCCTGCAGCACCCTGTGAGACAGGGCTGCTCTGCTTCCTCCTGCCTCCCTCCCTCCTTCCTTCCTTTTTCTCATTCCCTAACTAAAAGGAGAGAACATCAAATACTGCACCACAGGCAGCAGGGTGTCTCCCAGCACCCATCCTGCACACACAACCATCCTACCCACACACCCATCCTGCCCACACAACCATCCTACCCACACACCCATCCTGCCCACACAACCATCCTGCCCACACAGCCATCCTGCCCACACAACCATCCTACCCACACACTCATCCTGCCCACACAGCCATCCTACCGACACACCCATCCTGCCCACACAACCATCCTGCCCACACAGCCATCCTGCCCACACAGCCATCCTACCCACACACCCATCCTGCCCACACAACCATCCTACCCACACAACCATCCTGCCCACACAGCCATCCTACCGACACACCCATCCTGCCCACACAACCATCCTGCCCACACAGCCATCCTGCCCACACAACCATCCTACCCACACAGCCATCCTGCCCACACAGCCATCCTGCCCACACACCCATCCTGCCCACACAACCATCCTGCCCACACAGCCATCCTGCCCACACATCCATCCTGCCCACACACCCATCCTGCCCACACAGCCATCCTGCCCACACACCCATCCTGCCCACACAACCATCCTACCCACACACCCATCCTGCCCACACAGCCATCCTGCCCACACACCCATCCTGCCCACACAACCATCCTACCCACACACCCATCCTGCCCACACAACCATCCTGCCCACACACCCATCCTGCCCACACAACCATCCTACCCACACACCCATCCTGCCCACACACCCATCCTGCCCACACACCCATCCTGCCCACACAGCCATCCTGCCCACACAGCCATCCTGCCCACACACCCATCCTGCCCACACAGCCATCCTGCCCACACAACCATCCTACCCACACAACCATCCTATCCACACACCCATCCTGCCCACACAACCATCCTACCCACACACCCATCCTGCCCACACACCCATCCTACCCACACACCCATCCTGCCCACACACCCATCCTGCCCACACACCCATCCTACCCACACACCCATCCTGCCCACACACCCATCCTGCCCACACACCCATCCTACCCACACACCCATCCTGCCCACACACCCATCCTGCCCACACACCCATCCTGCCCACACACCCATCCTACCCACACACCCATCCTGCCCACACACCCATCCTACCCACACACCCATCCTGCCCACACAACCATCCTACCCACACACCCATCCTGCCCACACAACCATCCTACCCACACACCCATCCTGCCCACACAACCATCCTACCCACACACCCATCCTGCCCACACAACCATCCTACCCACACTCCCATCCTGCCCACACAACCATCCTACCCACACACCCATCCTGCCCACATAGCCATCCTACCCACACACCCATCCTGCCCACACAACCATCCTACCCACACACCCATCCTGCCCACACAACCATCCTACCCACACACCCATCCTGCCCACACAACCATCCTACCCACACACCCATCCTGCCCACACAACCATCCTACCCACACACCCATCCTGCCCACATAGCCATCCTACCCACACACCCATCCTACCCACACAACCATCCTACCCACACACCCATCCTGCCCACACAACCATCCTACCCACACATCCATCCTACCCACACAACCATCCTACCCACACACCCATCCTGCCCACACAACCATCCTACCCACACACCCATCCTGCCCACACAACCATCTTGCCCACACAGCCATCCTGCCCACACAACCATCCTACCCACACACCCATCCTACCCACACAACCATCCTGCCCACACAGCCATCCTGCCCACACACCCATCCTACCCACACACCCATCCTGCCCACATAGCCATCCTACCCACACAGCCATCCTGCCCACACCACCATCCTACCCACACACCCATCCTGCCCACACAGCCATCCTACCCACACACCCATCCTGCCCACACACCCATCCTGCCCACACACCCATCCTGCCCACACAGCCATCCTGCCCACACAACCATCCTACCCACACACCCATCCTGCCCACACAGCCATCCTACCCACACACCCATCCTGCCCACACACCCATCCTGCCCACACAGCCATCCTGCCCACACAACCATCCTACCCACACACCCATCCTGCCCACATAGCCATCCTACCCACACAGCCATCCTGCCCACAGAACCATCCTACCCACACAACCATCCTGCCCACACAACCATCCTACCCACACACCCATCCTGCCCACACACCCATCCTGCCCACACACCCATCCTGACCACACACCCATCCTGCCCACACACCTATCCTGTCCAAACAGCCATCCTGCCCACACACCCATCCTGTCCAAACAGCCATCCTGCCCACACACCCATCCTGCCCAAACAGCCATCCTGCCACATACCCATCCTTCCCACGCACCCATCCTGCCCACGCACCCATCCTGCCCACGCACCCATCCTGCCCACACAGCCATCCTGCCCACACAGCCATCCTGCCCACACACCCATCCTGCCCACACACCCATCCTGCCCATACAGCCATCCTGCCACACACCCATCCTACCACACACCCATCCTGCCCACACACACCATCCTGCCCACACACCCATCCTGCCCACACACCCATCCTACCACACACCCATCCTGACATGCACCCACTGTGCTAAGGGCAGTTCCTGGATGAAGAGCACTTTGCTTAAGGAGCAAGTTCCTTCTTTTGCTCACACCAGTGGATGTGCGATCCCTTTGAAAGTCTTTGCAGTGGGACCTAGGGATCTGCCCCCTGGGTCGCTCAGGCCTCAGCGGGGTGTGGCCGACAGTGCAGGTGCCCGGGAAGGCACTTGGCAGCATGAAAGTCCAGGGAGAGGCCGGCCTCTGCATGTGCCGCGACATAAGAGGCAGCTCGAAAGCAAGACCAAGTGTTTTCAAATGGCCACACGGTGAGCGAACACCTGCACTTACCTGCTATGGTCCCGGCAGAGTGGAAGGCACTTCGATACCAGAGCACAATGTCGATCCTAAACCTGCTGGACACGCACAGGACAAGCGCAGCGGCGCCCGTGATGGCCAGCAGCCCGCCGATCAGGTACGCTCGCCAGTCTGGCGCTGCGAGGAGAGCAGAATAACACAGTCAGTCCTGGCTTCCTCACAGGCCCCCTGCAAAGGCCAGGGATGCATTCGATGTCAGTGAGGGAATGGTGACTACTCCTCCCTCGCTAAGTCATAGGCCTGAGCATAGAGGGCTCTGGTCTGACCCTGAACTTCAGGAAACAGAGCTCTGAGCCTGGAGAGGGTGGTGCTGAGGCCCGTTGCATGAGGGTGCCACCTCCCTATGAAGATGCCCCCAGGAGGACACCCTCCCCCAGGAGGACATGCCCCGTGAGGACGCCGCCCCGCATGGCACTGTCCGCACTCCACATGTGAAGCCAGCATCGTGCTGGAAAGCCCCGCAGCAGGCACTGCCACACATTCTTGATTATAATGTTGCTATAATTGCTACTCAAAATTGAGCAGCAGGACTCGTGCCATAAGTACAGAGCTCTCAGTTGCCTCTGAAGCCATCTCTTTTGGCTCCACAAGACTGGCCCGGAGCCAGGGATGGCCCCAGCCTCTAGGCGCCAGCGCCCACCCAACCCGCCCCAGCCTCCGGGGGCAGCACCCACCCAACCCGCCCCAGACAGACTCCGGGGGCAGTGCCTACCCCAGCCCGCCCCAGCCTCTGGGGGCAGCGCCCACCCAACCCGCCCCAGACAGACTCCGGGGGCAGCGCCCACCCCAACCCGCCCCAGCCTCCGGGACCAGCTCCCCGGAGGGCGGACGTCCTGCGCTGTTAGGTCCCTGCAGAGCGATTATGGAAAAAGTTGTGGGCAGCACCTGACCGAGGAGCAGACCAGTTCCCTGAACGCTGTGTCCACAGAAACACGCTCCTTCCTACGTGTCTGATAAGAGGAACAGCCGCTTTCTTCCTCACCACAAGCCACACCAGTGCTGCCAAAGGAGGCGGCTCCCAGGACAGAATAAGAGAGAGGGAAGGACGGGGAGAGAAATCCTCCCCATTCTGGGGACCTACCCCACACACCACTTTTTCCATGGACCCTTCTTGATCCTCCAGTCCCCAAAGAAGGGTGGAAGGAAGGGAGGGACTCACTTCTCTGGATTTCCAAAGCACTTTCACTTTAAAAGGGCCATCACCACCGGCCTAGGCCACACTCTGAGGCCAAGGACATGCCCAGCCAGCACTGCAGGTCTTCAGTGCGTGGCCCAGGGAAGCGATGTCTGGAAACATTCTGCGTCAGGACAATGGCAACCACTAACTCTGCCCCAGCACGGCCCGGGGGCCTGCCTGCAGGGTGCTGGTGCCATCTGACCCTGACCACTTCTTTGAGCCTCTCCTTCCTCATCTTAGATGCTGCTGCCTTCCTCCCACCCTCCGTGTCTTGGCCCTTTCCCAGCTCTCCGGACACCGAGGCCCCTCTCCCTTCGGCTCTGTTCTGGGAACCCTGACTGCGCAGCCAGGGGTCTGGGTATCGTAATGGCCACACTAAGGAGACCATGCTCACAGTTTATGGGACTCGGAAGCCCTTGGTAAGTAGGCCGGAGCGACGGCCGGAGGTTCTTGAGCTGACCAGTCGCTGCATTCAGGAGCAGTGACACCCTGTTTTGTAAATGAGCTAAAAGACGCTGAGATTGGAAACGGAAAACAAATGGCAGTGCAGAGGGAGTATGAGCTTTGAAGCTGGACGAAGTGGGAACCTCGCTGTTGAGACATCAGGTGCCTGTTGAAGCCCATCAAGGAGGTGCTAGCCATTGGGCCCACATGGCTACCGCCAGCCTTAAGCTGAGATGGTAGCTGAGAGTAAGTGATTAGGGAAATTCCCAGAAGGGTGCACCCAATCCAAACAACTTTCTAGTGACCCTGCTTCAGGCTCAGATTCAATTGGGATGTGTCTTCTACAAAAATAAGGAAGTCAAGTGGAGAAGCTGCAGCCTTACCTCTGGCCCCAAGCAAACCCACAGAGGCTTGGATTTAAGAGATAATGTTTCTAAAAACTCAGGGAAAACAAAATGAAACGCACGTGTCCAAAAAGACATTGCACGTGAGATGTGAAGTAAGTGTGGACAGGAACAAAGATGCATGTGGTAAGCCCAGACTTCTCAGCTGGCCTACAGCAAAGATGACAAATTACCCTCTTCCCTCCTGCATGACCGGCCGCTGTTTGCTGTAGCGGCCTTATTCCTCTGAGCCAGGCCTTTGCCTCCCGGTGGTCGGTGGTCGTGTGTAAGTCAGCGCTGGCATGAAAGTCTGCACTGGAGGAGATGCCAAGATGGCTGCAGAGCAGCTGGCGCTCCATCCATTTCCTCCCAGCCCCTGGCCACACTTGCAGCTAAATTAGAGAGCAATCAGCTTGAAAAAGCAGTTGAGGTGCAGCTGATCTGAAATATTATAACCAAGGAGCATGAAGGAAGTCAGGAGGACCCTTAGGGGTGTTAAGACATGGAGAGGGCAGGTAACCTAATACAGCTGGTGGCCAGGAAGTGGGGGCGGGGGAGGGATCCTGGCTGTGGAGCTCCCTCCTCCAGGGAGCATGGGTCTCAGCCCCGTGCAAGGATCCCCAACCCACAGCAACAGAGACAGGAAGGGGCCTCTGTGGCCTGGGGCGTGGCAATTAGTGGATATTCTGTCCACCTGGGAGACTCGGCAACACCAGCCAGGGAAGGGGAGCTCCTCTTCCACCACCAGCCAGGGAAGTTTGCTGCAGTCTGTGACTGTGGAGAGTCCACAGGCCACGCCACCTGGTGGAGGGTCTGCCAGTGCACTCAGCAGTGACCTTGAGGGGCTGTGTTCTCTGGGAGTGAAAGGGTGAGGGCTACGCCCTCCATCTTGCCCCGAATCCTCCATTTTTGGGCAGAGCCATGTGCTCAGCAAAGAGCTCCTTTCCGGAAGAAGCCCAAGCCTCTGCTAGCCACACCTAGGATTCCTTTAAACTAACCAATGATAATCAAGGGAAGTGTGCGCCATAGATACGACCACATCCTGTGTAACGAGGCACCGACTTGCACCTGGCCAATCGGCAGGGCCCACAGTCCTCTCTCCTCCCCTTACTATTAAACCCCTTTTTCCTACGGGGCTGGCACTCTTGTCTCGCCGCTGAGTTGGTAGAGGCTGGGAGCCAAACCCGGGTTTGTAATAAAGACTCTCTGCTTTTGCATCGGACTCGGCTGGCTCCCTGTTGGTCTATTGGGGATCTTGAAATCTGGGCATAACAGGAGGACTGTGGGCAGAGAGCCAGGCAGGGGCTAAACCATGTGGCCTGGGAAGGAGGATGGGTCTTGCCCACACTGAGTGCTGGGCAGCACCACTCCCCCACCTGCTGACACTCAGTTAGCCTGTCCTGCTTGTTCCGCTGCTCAGGACCTAGAGCTGGAAGTGCTCACCAATGCTCTGTGGTGAGACACGCAGAGAAATCAAAGTTCTGCTCAGGGACGATTTCTTTCACCTGCTTTCCTGGTCCCACAGCACCGAGGTGCAGGGAGACATGCAGAGCGAGCACTTAAAGACTCTGCCTCCAGGGGAGGCTTCTGTCCAGAAGCCAGGAGGCCAGGGATAGGCTCTCGGGTTGCATTGAAAATTGAAGGGAAATAAAGTGCTTCCAGACACCGACAACAAAAGGTTAAAGAAGTTCGTTACCAACAAACCAGGATTGCAAGAAACCCTAAGGGGAATGCTGTAAGGAGGGAGAGAGAGAGAAAGGGAGAGAAACACAAGCATAAAGAAAAACAATTGCAATAAATAAATACCAATAAATAATAACCTTAAAAGTAAATGGATTAAATGCTTTAATCAAAAACATAGGGTAGCTGAATGGATAAGAAAACATTATATATATATATATATATATATATATACTGTCTATAAGAGACCCACCTCAGAACAAGGGACTCACACAGACTGAAAGTGAAGGGATAGAAAAAAATTCCATGCATGCTCTGGTCAGTGTGACCCAGTGGTTAAGAGTCTCAGCCCATGCAGCAATAGGCCACAAATTTGATTCCCAGTCAAGGGCATGTACATGGGTTGCAGGTTCAATCCCAGTCGGGGAGTGTGTGGGAGGCAACAAATCAATGTATCTCTCTCACATTGATGTTTCTCTCTCTCTCTCTCTTCCCCCCCCCCTTGCACTCTCTCTAAAAGTCAATGGAAAATATATCCTCAGCTGAGGATTAACAATAACAAAAATATTCCATGCAAATGGAAACTAAAAAGTTAGGTAGCAATACTCAGATCTGACAAAATAGACTTCAAAACAAAGGCCATAAACAAGACAAAGAAGGCCACTATATAATACTAAGGGATAAGCCCAACAAGAGGATATAACCCTGGTAAATATATAGGCACGCATGTGCGCGCGTGCGCGCACACACACACACACACACATTATTTTTTTAAGACAACTCTTGGTGGACTTTAGGGGAGAGCAACAGAATTACAGTCATAGAAGGAGACTTTAACACCCCACTGACATCACTGGATAGATCTTCCAGATAAAAAATCAACAAGGAAACAGAGGCCTTAAATTAGACAGTAGATCAGATGGATTTAATTGAAATTTACAGAACATTTCATCCCAAAGCAATACATTCTCATCTAATTTACAATGAGCATTCTCAAAGATAGGCCAAATGTTTGACACAAAATAAATATTAACAAATTCAATAAGGTTGAAATCTTGTTAAACATCTTCTTGGATCACAGTGGCATGAAACTAGAAATCAACTACAATTTTTAAAACCCTCAAAAATTTTCAAAAAAATGGAGGCTAAATAGTGTTATTAAACAATGAGTGGGTTACCAATGAGATCAAGAAAGACATAAAAAATTACCTGGAAACAAGTGAAAATGAACACACAACAACCCAAAGCTATGGACACAATGAAAACAGTCCTGAAAGGGAAGTTCACAGCATTGCAGGCCTCGCTCAAGTAGCAATAAAAATCTAAAATAAATAACTGAGCCCTATGCCTAAACCAACTACAAAAAGAACAACAAACAAAGCCCAGAAGAAGTAGAAGAAAGGAAATAATAAAGAGGAGAGTGGAAATAAATG